ATGAAGAAACAATAAATGAGGAGATAGATAGGTTTGCCCTGATTTAATCATCATGTATACATAATATTGAGACATTACATGATACCCCATTAATATGTACAATTTCTATGTGTCTATGTGTCAGTTAAAATAATTTAAAGATACCTCTCACAGAAAAGCAATGAAGATGCCATTATGTTTAGCCACATATATATATGTAATTTTTACTTCAGTAATAGCTACACTAAAATAAGTATAGAAAATGTGAAATTAATTTTTATAATATACATTTTTTTAATCTCATGAATTCCAAATGCCATCATCCCAATATGTAACAAGTATTTTAAATTGGTATATTTTATAATTTTCATACTAAGTTTTTGAGATCCACTGTGCATTTTATACTTGTGCATCTATCAGTTTAAACTAGCCACATTCAAGTGCTCATACCACCTGAGATACTTCAGATACTGTTTTTGGGGGACATCTGTGGTATCTAGCTGATATATCCCCTTTAATCCATCCAAGAATTAGGAGCTCTAGAATTTCAAGTCCCCACGTCAATCAACAGTCTATTCTGAGGAAGGGCACGAAACCCCTTTTAATTCCATAGATTAATTTGAATTGTGGGGTCAGAGCACATTTGGCCATATTTTCCAACACTCCAACAAATTAAGAAAAGAGGTTCAGGTCATCATTTGGCAGAAGGCCACCTTCTGAGACATCCAATGAAACACACAAAGGATTTTTCTGCCAAATAAAAATGAGGCTGATTGTTCTCAGTATCAAGGGAATGCCTGGCAGCTTAGCATTTGCAAAACATCTCTTTCATCTGTCCCATGGAAGAGCTGACATGACTTCCAAGCTGGGGATCCTCCAAGGGGTCTTAATCAGATGCTGAAGATGCAGGTGAGGGTTGTCCCTGCTCTGTGCAGCTGTCCTCTAAGGCTACAGCTTCCTCACGAGGCCCCTCAAGGAGGTTTTCTCTTCCAAGTTTCATCAGTTTGTTCCAGACATTCTGTTTGCTGTTCTCTGTGGGATCCATTCATTCTTACAGCTTCTTTCACCTGATTTCCAAGATCACTGTCCTCAAGGTCACCCAGACTGCTGATTTTTATCACTGTCACCCATTATCAGCAGGAGAACCCAGGTTAGAAACCCTCTTTTTCCAGACCAAATCCATCTCTGGGTCATGGTCCTTAATCTCTGAACTGCCCCTCAAATCATCTCTTCCAGTACCCTTGCCATTGGTTTAATTTCCTATTTGCTCACCCAGATTGCTGTACCAGCCTCTTATCTGCCACATTGTTGCCAGGTTGAGCTTTCTAAAACACCAGATCCATGGGGTCACTTTTCTGGATTTTACCAAATCCCCACTGATACCTACATAGTGGATTCTAACCCTTTTGTATAAACAGAAGAACCTCAAATATTTTTCAATGAGGTGATTTAACAATCTCTAGGATAGAAAACAAATACAATCTAAAGCTTCTCTGAGCAAAGCAGGGGCAGAGGACTCACAGCCTTCCCTAAAGACTTCCAGTTCTCCCTGTGTTTCTGGGGCCCAAGGAAGCTCCAAGGAATCCTAGAGCTCTTCTAGACCTAGCTGGAAATGCTATCCCAGGGGAGGAAGCCCATGCTCCTTGGCTTGGCATTCGAGGCCCTACAGAATCTCAGTAGGCCCAGACTCTCTTTCTTGTCACCCCCCCACATACCTCCACTACACAAACCACACATAACCTCAATATTCCAGGCCTTTTGGGGCTCCACGCTGGCCATGCAACTTCCTCAGCCAGCTGCCTCTTTCTGCTCAGCCCTGTCTGCAGAAATCCTCATTGTCCTCCCAGGTTCATCTCCAATGTCATCCTTTACAAAGACTTCACTTATGAACAATCAAGATAGAACAAATCCCTCTCTCCTCTGGGGACTCAGTTAAGGTGACCATTTAACCACTTATCACATCTGTTACCTGGATGTTTTTTCTAGTGATGCTACCTTTCTAATCCTGGCCCAAAGTTCCAATCAATAGCGCTGTAAAGTTAAGACTATGTCCTTTACTCCATCACCATAGTGGTGAACGAGCCACGCGTGATTTCACGACAAATTCTGAGAACCTTCGAGGAAGCAAGAGGCCAAAGAGCTCAAAGCTGAAATCTGAGCCTTTGGGTTCTAATTTGGCTTTGTCTCAAACTAAGTCTTTTTTCAGCCCTACAGAACTATCATCTTTAGTGCTCTGGGCATAATGATAATGACTCCAGTGACTAGTTTTATAAGGCAGCTACAACATGCCAGGCACTATTCTAAGCGTTTTTCATGGGTTAACTCATTTTGGCTTTAAAGAACAAAGTCTGAGGCATTTTATAGGTTAAACCCTTCTTCAGTTTCACTTGGGACTGAAAGAGCCTTTACTGGTTCATCTTCTGCAGTGATAAGGATGCTGAGACTCATGGTGAGATGACTGCTCAGTGACTTGGTGAAAGCAGAGTTGACTGGTGGCCAATCTCTGGCTCTTGGCGGGGGGAGATAAGGGGAATATGCCTTCACCCACTTAACACTGCTTCTCTGTGACAGGAAGTGGCCTGGGAATTGGCCAGAGCCACACTTCATGCAAAATGTTTTACAAAGCTTCACCAGAGAGATATGTTGCTCAGCTATCAGCATAACTCAATTCATGCCCAAATATTTCCTAATTTACAAAAGCTAAGTAATTCTACTTCAAATTTGGTTTAATGTTTTTAAATTTTCTATCTCCTTATAAGGATTATAATCACATCGATTGATTGAATGAGGATGTGAGTGGCACCCACAGACATTGAGGATAGAAACTTCTTGTCCTCAGAGAAGTAATGGCTGCTAGGGAGACATTGTCCAGGTCGAGCGCCTCCTCACTGCTCCATCACTGCAGTTAGGGATGCAAAGAGGCTTCAAGGACATGGAGTCCATGGCCCTCTGATTTACTTCTGATAATGTATATTTTGTGATTTGCATCTTAAAAGCATGTCTCAATTAATAGTGCATTTCCTAAGAGGCAGAAAAAAGAAGTGAAGCTGAATTCAAAACTTCCACTGTTGACCAAATGGCCTTTGGAAAAATCAGTTAATATAGCCAAGTCTCAGATTTATCCTGAGGAAAATGTTATCATTTCTATTGGGGTTGCTGTGAAGCTCCAAGGAGATACGGGTGAAGAGAACTGAAGAGGAAAATATTCATTTTTCTTCTTTAAAGTCACATTCGAAGAATGTTATCTATAATTTTTCCTTTTAGGTCTCCTGTCCATTTGGGTTCTATAACAAAATCTCATAGACTGAGTTGCATATAAGTATTTCTCACAATGCCAGAGGCAGAAAGTCCAAGACCACCAAAGCCCTAGTAGACTTGGAGTCTGGTGGGGGCCCCTTTCTTGGTCCATAGACAGCCATCTTTTCACTGTGTCCTTGCATGGCAGAACAGATGAGGGAGTTGCGTGGAATCCTTTTATAAGGGTAATATGGCTGTAGCCTGATGTATCTGCAGCCATCTTGAGTTGTAACCACCAACATGGCTCCTGAATGACCCTGCTTGGTTTTCTCCAAATATTTTCCCAGCACACTATAAATGATCAAAACCATTAGAATAGTAATGTTGAGCTTTATAATCAGGGCCTGGTGACCTGATCATTAGATATGAGCCTGATGTCCTTAAAACCAGGTACATTCTGACTTGGATGAAGTCACTCTTGTTCTGTCCGCTATATAAACCTCCTACTTCTGACCCAGATTATAGAGGTGCATTCATCTTGCTGTTGCAAGTACGACCATACTTCTATCAGTAATTCCCCAATAAATTGTACTCTGTGAAATCCTGGATCTGACTACCTCTTTTTTCATTCTCACAACATCCTGGGGCTACTTCTCATGCACTGTGACCTGGTTGTTCTGGAACAAGGGCACTAATCCCATTTGTGAAGGACTCACCCATGACCTTCCAAAGTCTCCCACCTCTTAATACCATTATCAATGATTATTAAATTTCAACATAGAATTTTGGAGGGAAACAAACCATTAGACCATCGTAACCCCAGAGAAGGGAAATGACATACCCAAGACCCGGGGGGGTTATCCCTTTCTAGCAATTCTATTCCAATAACCATTCATCTTTTCTTAAGCTATAAATCTGTAGAAATTTTTGTCACCCCATATGTTAATTTGAGTTTTAAATTTTCACAGAAGCTTAGCAGGGCATCAAAATAACATTTATTGAATGTATTATGGTGGCAAGCTTTCCATACAGTTTTACCTCATCCTCCCAACAGCCCTATATTACAGGTATTATCAGCCCCATTTCCCCAATGGCATGGCACCTTTCCAGAACATGAGGGCAAATTGCCCAAGATCACGGGAGTTGAAAGTGACAGAAGAGTCAAGCTCAAGTTTTCCTAACCAAATCCAATGCTTTTCCCATTAAGGGGGATGGGGGTGCCTCAGCAAGGACAAAGAATGGCACAAAATTGTAGAAAAATGACTAAACAAACAACAACAATAACTGTGATTTCTGCATAGTATTCACGGATACTTTTTCGGAAATGTATACACAACATTCATGTTTTGACTAAAGCAGGAATTGCCATTTTCGAGAAAAATCAGAATTGTCTTTTTCCTGTGCTGAAGTTTTAAACGTAAACATTAAAGCATGTTTCGGCCTTGGTAATTCAAAAAGCAAAAGGGTGGTGCTGCATACTAATGTGCTTCCACAGCTGCTTAATTCGCACATCGTGACTCCCCACCCATTCTACAGCACTCTTTTCTGAGGGTGACGACTTCGGTGGAAGGTTTCTTAAAATTCAAGGTATGCAAGTTCAAGTTCCTGCCTGAAACACAGGTGGGGCTCACTATTCACCCTCAGCTTTAAAGGTCATCTCTGATTTCCTGCAGACCTTCCTCCAACCACCTCCTTTCAGCTCCCTGCCGCGGGCTTCGAGGAGCCGGCGGCGCCAGGCGCATTGTGAAGTGGCCAGAGCGTCACAGGCGATTGGGACCTCTCAGGATCCAAGGGTGGAGTTGGGTGTCCGCAGCGCCTCCTGGAGGCCGCGGGACGCTCACGCAGACACTGGGCGCGCTGGGAGGGAACATGGAGGGCTTCCGCCACTTCTCCCCGCGGCGCTACAGGAACCTCTGGGACACCTCGCCGCCGGCCGCAGAGAGCAGGTCCCCCATGCGGCTGGATGGGCCCGAATCCAAACCGGCCTCGGGCCCCTGGGGCTGTACGTCGGATTCGCGGAGTGAGGCGGCAGAGTCGCAGCTGTCTCCCGGGTGTTCGTTCACGCCGCGGCCTCGCAGGCGCTGGTACAACACCTCGCCGCTGGAAAGCCGAAGCCTGACTCGCTTGACCCGGAGGCCCCCAGACCGCGTCCGGAAGCACCGATTGGGCAGCCGACGCCTAGAAGAAGCCTGGAGGGAGGACGGGACCAAGCCCCGTTCGGCCTGGCAGCAGCAGCTCCATCTGCAACCCCAACAGACTCAGTCCTGCCAACGCTGTTCTTCCATCCAGACAGATTCGCCCCCGCGGTACCCCGGGGGAGCTTCCAATCCCCCGAGTGTGGCTTCTGGGGTAGGGAAAGCACCGAGTGAAGACCAGTGGGCAGTGCCGATCTGCAGCCATGTAGGTCGCTGGTCCTCTTCCTCTTTACACACAGACAAGTCCTCCGTACCTTCCCAAGAGTTAAGGACCCAGTCGGCCTGTTTGTACACCCAGCAAAGAGACTGTAACGATTTGATGGAGTCCTTAGCCAGTCAGTATCCCCAGCCCATGGTCTCCAGCAAAGACCCGCAGAACCAGATTCTCAAGTGCAAGCTGGAAGAGACGGTGATGTCCTCGAGGGACCAGAAGATCGTGTCCCTAGTGCTAAACCGGCTCCAGAAAGCCCAAAGAATGCGGGAGCTGCAGCAACAGGCGGCAGTCGCTTGGGAGGAGCTGAAGCGCTCAGACCAAAAGGTCCAGATGACCCTGGAGAAAGAGCGCCGGCTGCTGCTGCAGCAGAGTCAAGAGCAGTGGCAGCAACGGAAGGAGCGCAAGGGTCGCCGAGGCCGCGAACATCACTGCCGGCGGCGGGACGGCCACTCGAAGAACGCGATCCAGGAGGAGAGTTGGTGGGAGTCCCAACTGCAGGACCCCGAGAACCAGCGTCTAGCGAGGATGGAGAGGGCGCGCATGGAGGCCGAGCACCGCAAGCAGTGCCAAGCTCAGCGCCTGCGAGAGCAGGAGAGGTTACTGCAGAGCTTGCGGGAACTGAACAACCTGCAGCTGCGGAAGAGGCTGGAGGAGGCCTGTCACAAAAGGCAGTTGCACTCGATGGACACCAAGAAGGTCCAGGAGACCAACCTGAGCTCCCTCGTCAATTATCAGGCCCGCAAGGTGCTCATGGACTGCCAAGCCAAGGCCGAGGAGCTCCTCAGAAAGCTGTCGCTGGAGCAGAATTCCATGCGGTCCCAAGAGATCCACCAGGGCCTGCTGAAGGGGCAGTACCGACAGCTGAAGGAGAAGGCCCAGAAGGAGGAAGGGCAGTTCCAACAGGTCAAGTGTCACGCCGTAGAGTCGGAGGAGCAGAGGCAGATGCACAAGAGGATCTTATTGGAGCTAGCCGAGCAGAAGAGCCAGCAGGAGAGGAGTCACGCACACAGGACCCCCAGGGACAAGGCACAGCGCCTCCGGGAGCTCAACATCCTGCGGGAGAAGAATCATCACATTCTGAAGCTGAAAGCCGAAAAAGAGGAAAAGTGCCACATTGAGGGCATCAAGGAAGCCATTAAGAAAAAGGAGCAGAAAATGGAGCAGTTCTCCCGCGGGAAAGATCCCACCTTGTCAGAGTTTCAGAAGGGCTCTCTCACCTCCAGGAGAGAGAACGGCAGAGGGCTTCCCATCAGCTGCTTTGACCAGAGGACATCAGAGGCCCAGCTGTGTGCCCATCAGCCGAGAGGGGGCTATTGAGAACTGAGGACAAAAAGCTTCAGCCCCAGCAGCCAGAGAGAGATGTGGCCAAGCGATTCGGGTTTATAATCTGATTATAATTATTGATTTTTAAAAGTATATAAAATAGCTGCAATTTCCTCTCATGAACTAGTTTATTGATTCACTTGGGTGGTTTAGAGGGTCGGGGAGAGAAATTTGGGGCTGTGAAGAAAATTGCTTGGCTTTGTAAATTTTTATTTGAAGAGAAAATATTCATGTAGCTCTCAAAAAAATCTTAGAGGCAGACATTAGGCATAGCCTCCAGGAACCAGAGAATAATCTACATGTGGGGATACAGTTTGTGCCATGTATAAGTCTTTTCCTATCCCAGAACTTCCAAAAGAATAAAGTGTGAATGACCAGTCATAATTAAAATCTCCAAGAAAAAAAAAGTGGGGTAGGAGAATTTCTGTGAATAAGTAGATCTGGGAATCTTGGATATTAAGTCCCCTCTTGAGAGTTTATAGTGCACTTTAAATTTTTAAAGGCTCTGAAAAGACTTGCAGTAATGAAACATTTGCTTAATTAGTGTTTTGTAACAAACTATGGACACCCCCCCCCACACACACACACACTCCATGGGTCATTCCGTGGAATGTATTTTGTAGAATGTTCTATAAACTCTAATTCCTCCCATTTTGAGGACTGCTTTGGCCATCCCTCCCTGTGCTCCTGAACCTGATTATAATTCCAGCACAGTGTCTTGACTGTCCCATTTGAGAGATCACTGGAATATATTTGGTCTGATTTTGTTGTTGTTTCTATCCAGTCTTATGCAACAAAATTCTATTGGAATCCTCCTTTTCCCCTCTATTTCTCCTCTGCTTCTTTTGAAGGAGGTATGTGATGTCATTTCCATCTACCCACATTGTGTTTAATTAACTTAACTAGGCTCTGAATGACTGACTAAGCATGACTCAGTAACATGACATTTTTAAAATAAGGAGCCAGCAGCTAAATAGAAATTAACCCATGCGCATCTCAAAGTCTCCATTGAAAAGCTCTGAATGTTTTTTCTTCAGAAAGACTCTAAGGTAACATTTGTTTTGAGGGAAGGAGAAGAAGGATGAAGGGGAAACAGAGAGAGACAGACAGGGACAGAATTAATAAGCCCCAGAAGAATTATTTTGTTTTATTAGTATTTTTTTTATACCTGGAATTGAACCCAGGGTGCTTATCCACTGAGCTACATCCCCAGCCCATTTTATTTGTTTGTTTATTTATTAGAGACAGTATCTTGCTAAGTTCCTTAGGGCCTCACTAAGTGGCTGAGGCTGACTTTGAACTTATGATCCTCCTGCCTCACTCAGCCTCCTGAGCTACTGGGATTATAGGTATGTATCATGGTGCCGGTTTATTAGTAATATTGAAATTACTAATATTAATTAGTTTTAATATTCGATTTAATATTAAAGTTCACCTGACAAGGGACTTTGTGCAGAGATCAATGTGTGTTGTCTACTTTTTCCACCTAGCTACTGGAAACCAGGTCATCTTCTCCATTATGTTTTCTTTCTCTACCTTAAGTCTCCACTCCCTGATGCTCCCCCCCACAAAGAGGCTTGCTGTAGAGCCCTCATTCCTTTGCTCAGAAATGTTCAGGGAGTCCCCTGCTAAAAAATGTGAGGGTTCATACATCATGCCTCAAACCCCAACCTTATTTTCTTCTACTTGCTCAGAGTAGTCAATTCCATCATCTAGAGAAGTATTGCATGCAATCCAGGTAGTCTAGGGTTAATGCTTAATATATTTCAGACAGACCTGGGCATGAATCCTAGTGCTCCCTCCATACAATTATGTGATATTTGGAAAGTTGCTTCCCTGAACCTCAGTTTCCTCATCTGTAACGTGGGAAATAATTCATACTTCAATGGCACATTCCAAGGAATGATTAAATAACATAATAAGATATTTGGCATAATGCCCAGATTCTAATAATACCAGATAAATATAATGGTGGATTTTATTATTCATAATACTGACCTTGTACCTTTGTCATTTTATTCTCCCCATCTTGATGCCTTTTCACCAGCTTCCTTGTTCCACCATATCCAAGCCTGTTTTTTTGTTTTTGTTTTTGTTTTTTTCCTGAGCTTAGTTCACATTCTGTTGCTTTTGTGAAATGTGAGACCTTTCCAGACACCCCCTCTTGAGTATCTCTCTGACAAACTGTATGTCTCATGAACACTTAATAGTTACTGCTTTGTGTAGCATATGCATTTTGCAATCTACATCTTGGTTTCCTAACTAGACTGCAAGCAATCTGAGGCTAGAGTCATTGTCTGGGACTTCTTTACATTTATGCATAACATGGGGTGGTCAATATACAGTCAAAAGCCTCTCATGGGGCTATTTTGAATCCACATACACATCTCATGATTTTTATCCTATATTTTCATCTCTTTGCTCCAAGAGACTTACATACTTTTGTCCAGTCCTCTGTGAATGTTACTGACAGAAATGATTTGTACAAACTAACACTGACAGAAGCAGAGTAGGCTTTTCCCTATCCTTCCCTTAAATACGACAAGAAACATGAACACAGTATATGAAAGGTGAGGATAAATCAGAATGACTGGAGACCTCAGGACTTAAGGAATCACACAGTAGTACATTTCCTACGTTTTCTTTTTGCTTCACATATCCTCAACCCGAAGCTAAAGAAACTGATAACCCCCAAACACCAAGTACAGACTAAGTCCCAATTCAAGCCTAATCTTTCCAGCCAAAACACTTGGGAAGGGCAACCTAACAAGGCAGAAATATTTTAGATGATAATCACTCTACTCCAGCCAAACACCACAGAAAAACCTGTGACCTCATCCTTACCCAAGCCAGCAAAGACCCAGCCAGGAGTCTAGATTTCTACCCTCACCAGGTTGTAACAGAAGCTCCCTTCTCCTTCCTAGCAATGTCAGCAGAGACCACACAAAGCCTAGATTCTCAACCACTAGCTCCATAGACACCTCCCCAAACTCCTGCAGGGTGTCACAGGAAGCCTAGTGAAAAGTCAAAAGTTTTATTAGCATCACTACCCAAGTTGTCTAGGTTTCAACTGAAAATCCCTCCACCAAGAACCAAGAATATCTCAAATGGAATAAAAAAGAATCCATAAATGCTAACAGAAGAACAAGAAATGTTAGAATTACCTAAAAAACATTTCAAAACATCCTTAGTAAAAAAGAAAATGTAACAAGTAATTGTGAACATACTTAAATCAAAAAAGACAGTCTCAGTAATGAAGCAAAATGTATAAAGAGCTGCCAAATGGCAAATATGGAACTGGAAAATATAATTTTGGGTTGACTTTACAACAGAGTAGGAAACAAGAAAGAATGTGATTGGAAGATAAAACAAAAAAAAAAATCTGATCTGAGAAACAATAAATTATTGGAAAAAAAACAGCAGAGCCTCTTGGACCTGTGGGACTATAGCAAGAGATCTAACATTAATGGCACGGGAATCCCAGAAGGAAAGTAGGAAAAGGACAAGGATGGAAAAATCCTCAAGGAAATAATGACAAATTCAGTAAGGAAGTTAAGCAAACCCCCAAAAAGGTAAACCTTAAATTCAATGGATAATTCATAAAGAGTAATCCATAGAAATTCATGATATACCATAGTCAAAGTTCTAAAACTAAAGACAAGGGAAAATTTTCTTGATCAACACAATAAAAATATAAGCCATGGACTGAAATTTTTTTTTCAAAAAAGTGGCTATATTAATATCAGAGAAGTATTCAAAGAAAACAACCAGAGGCAAAGGAATGTAAACTTTATGATTCAATCTATCAAGAAGACATAGCAATTCTAAACATGTATATATCAAACAATAGAGTTACAAAATGCAAGAAGCAATAACTAACAGAACTGAAATGAGAAATAGACGAATCATCCATTTGAACAGTTGGAGACTTCAATATCCCCTCTCAACAACTGATACCCCTACTAAACAAAATTAAGAAACATACAACTTAAGAATGCTCACCAACCAACAGGGTAGGTTCTATTCAACATTTATAGATGTATCCAACAACAGCAGAATATGCATTTTTCACCCAGTCTTCATGGAATACATTCTAAGCTAGAACATATCTTGTGCCCTATATCAAACTCTTCAAATTTGAAAGAATTGAAATCGTACAAAACAATATAATCAAATTATAAATCAATAATGGAATGATAACAGGAAAACCTTCAACACATGAAAACTAAACAGAACCCTTCTATGTAATCCATAAGTCAAAGAGGAAGTCTCAAGGGAAATTTAAAGATGCATTGCACTGCAGAGTACAGTGGTGCACAGCTGTAATCCC